CAACTTGGCGAGATTTCATCTCTACAATAAATCAAAAAATTAGCCGGGCATGGCAGCGTGCGCCTGTAATTCCAGCTACTTGGAAGGCTGAGGCGGAAGGATCGCTGGAGCCCAGCAGGTCGAGGCTGCGGTGGCCGGGAGCGGCCACTGCACTCCAGTCTGGGTGACAGAGTGAGACTCCAACTCAAAAAAACAAAACAAAACATAAAATGTTGAAGAGTCCCCAGAATCAGGGGAGCTTGAGCACAAATCTTGATTTTATCAAAGGTTCCCAATAAATTCTCTCAAGGACCCAACCTCATTCTCCATATTTCTTACGCACTTTTGCCTAGGACTGTCCTATAAAGACTTGGTTAGGCTGGGTGCGGTGGCTCACACCTATAATCCTAGCACTTTGGGAGGCTGAGGTGTGTGGATTGCCTGAGCCCATGGGTTCAGCCTGGGCAACTTGGCGAGACCTCATCTCTACAATAAATTTTTTTAAAAATTAGGCTGGATACGGTGGTGTGTGCCTATAGTTTCAGCTACTTGGAAGGCTGAGGTGGAAGGAGAGGCAGAAGGATCGCCAGAGCCCAGCAGGTTGAGGCTGTGGTGGTCAAGAGCATGCCATTGCCCTGCAGCCTGGGAGACACAGTGAGACTCCAACTCAAAAAAAAAAAAAAACTGAGTTAAACTAAACAGATGGTGGCTAACATATATAAATCATCCATTGTAATATTTCTCTTTCAAATATTTCCTCCTCAAACACAAAGGGACACAAATGCAGTTACATATAAGTTATACTTATGTTCCCCAGGTTTTTATAATGGTTTTATATGCTTTATGACAAAACAGGTGAAAATTTTTTTTTTTTTTTTTTTTTTGAGTTGGAGTCTCACTCTGTCGCCCAGACTGGAGTGCAGTGGCCGCTCCCGGCCACCGCAGCCTCGACCTGCTGGGCTCGGGCGATCCTTCCGCCTCAGCCTTCTGAGTAGCTGGAATTACAGGCATGCGCTGCCATGCCCGGCTGATTTTTTGATTTATTGTAGAGATGAGGTCTCGCTGCCCAGGCGGGTCTCGAACCTGCGGGCTCAGGCAATCCACTCACCTCGGCCTCCCAAAGGCGCGGGATTACAGGCTGAGCCACCGAGCCCGGCTGAAAATTTTTTTTATGGAATAGAATTTATAAGCCTTCTATTTCTCATCTTGCATAAAAGTACTAATTTGGCAGGAGTGTGTTAAAAGAAATATTGTCTGCATATATCCGATGTAATAATGGACTCTGTGAGTGCACAGACACGGAATATCTTGGATATCACCTGTAAGTTACAGCAGGACATCAAACAGGGTTTGTACCCCTACCCCAAACTGAATCCTAAACATCTAAACCAGCTTATAACACAGTAGGCAGTAACTATAGTTTGTAACCACTACATTTGGGCTAAAGGTGCCTGAGGATCAAATATTATTTTCCTATTTGAAACAATGAGCACATGAAAATATAACTTTGCCAGGCTTGGTGGCTCATGTCTGTAATCCCAGCACCTTGAGAGGCTGAAATGAGAGGACTGTCTGAGCCCAAGGGATTGAGACAAGCCTGGGCAACTTGGCGAGACTTCAACACTACGATAAAATAAAAAAATTAACTGGGTATGGTGGTGCATGCCTGTAGTTCCAGCTACTTGGAAGGCTGAGGTAGAGGGATTGCCTGCTCCCAAGAGGTAGAGGTTGTGATGACCATGAGCATGCCACTGTACTCCAGCCTGGGTAATAGAGTTCGACTCTGACTCAAAAAAATTTAAAAAAATATAAAATATAACTTTGCCTTTTCCGATTTAATCATTCACAATGAGCTCACAATCAGAGAACACATGCTCTCTCCATGAACTTTCCTTTTTCTTACTTTTCAAGGTACACACAGCTTAAAGATACCAGAACTTTCCTTTGGGAACAGATTTACTGAGTGACAAATAGCCATCCACACAGGAAGAAGGAAGTTAGGGTAACTGGAAATAAATAACATTCAAATTCATTAAATGGTTCAAAGAGGGGCCTATTTTTCCTAAAAGTCCATTCCAGAGTCAGAAACAGGACATTGGTGAAAGATGGTATATGAGACTTCTCCACAATCCCAAAGAGGTGGTAACTTAGGTCCAGATCCAGTCTATTCAAGAATCAATAACAATGTTTGAAGATGAGAATAAAATTCACCTAGAGGCACCCTAGAACGCTCCAGTTCCAGAAAATATTAATCTACTTCTTCAATTCTGGGACCTGTGGCAGGACTTCCTGGCATATATCCTGTTCCACAGGTAGGCCCAGTGCATCCTCCTTGGTAGAGTTTTGTAATGACGGGATTACAAACCTGCTCCAATTCCTTTCTTTTATGTTCAAACTCATCTTTCTCAGCCAGTTGATTGGCCTCCAGCCATGAAAGAACCTCATTGCATTTATCAAGTATTTTCTTTTGCTCAGACTCACTAATCTTGCTCTTCAAACCTTCATCACTCACAGCATTCTTCATGTTGAAAGCATAGGATTCTAAAGCATTTTTTGCAGCGATTTTCTCCCTACAGACCTCATCTTCAGCTTTGTATTTCTCAGCATCTAAAACCATGCGCTCGATCTCTTCCTTGGTCAGGCGGCCCTTGTCGTTGGTGATGGTGATCTTGTTCGCTTTGCCAGTGCTCTTGTCCATGGCCGTGACATTGAGAATACCGTTGGCATCGATGTCAAAGGTCACCTCAATCTGAGGAATTCCCCTGGGTACAGGAGGGATTCCAGTCAGGTCAAAACGCCCCAGCAAGTTGTTGTCCTTTGTCATGGCCCTCTCGCCCTCATAGACCTGGATCAATACCCCAGGCTGGTTATCTGAGTAAGTGGTGAAGATCTGTGTCTGCTTAGTGGGAATGGTGGAGTTGCGCTTGATCAGGACAGTCATCACGCCGCCAGCTGTCTCCAACCCTAGGGACAGGGGAGCCACATCCAACAAAAGCAGGTCCTGTACCTTCTCAGACTTGTCACCCATCAAAATGGCTGCCTGTACTGCAGCCCCATAGGCTACTGCCTCATCAGGGTTAATGCTCTTGTTGAGATCACGTCCATTAAAGTAGTCCTGAAGCAGCCTCTGCACCTTGGGGATTCGGGTAGAGCCCCCAACTAAAACAATGTCATGGATTTTAGCCTTATCCATCTTGGCATCCCGAAGAGCTTTTTCCACAGGCTCCAGGGTGCCCCTAAACAGGTCTGCACATAACTCTTCAAACCGTGCTCTGGTGATAGACGTGTAGAAGTCGATGCCGTCATAAAGCGAATCAATTTCTAGGTTGGCCTGGGTGCTGGATGACAGGGTCCTCTTGGCCCTCTCGCAGGCAGTGCGCAGTCGCCTCACGGCCCGCTTGTTCTGGCTGATGTCCTTCTTGTGTTTCCTCTTGAACTCCTCTACAAAGTGGCTCACCAGCCTGTTGTCAAAGTCCTCCCCACCCAGGTGTGTGTCCCCCGCAGTGGCTTTTACCTCAAAAATCCCATCATCTATAGTCAGAATGGACACATCAAATGTACCTCCACCCAGATCAAAGATGAGGACATGGCGTTCTCCCTGACCTCTTTTATCTAAACCATAGGCAATGGCAGCAGCTGTAGGTTCATTGATGATTCTTAGCACATTGAGTCCTGCAATCACACCTGCATCCTTGGTGGCCTGGCGTTGAGAATCATTGAAATAGGCTGGCACAGTGATCACAGCATTGGTGACAAGGTGGCCCAAAAAAGCCTCAGCAGTTTCCTTCATCTTAGTCAGTACCATTGAAGATATTTCCTCAGGATAGAAAGCTTTATTCTCCCCTTTGTAGGACACGAGCACCTTGGGCTTGCCTCTTTCATTGACCACTTGAAAAGGCCAAAGTTTCATATCTGATTGCACAACTGGATCATTAAATTTCCTGCCGATCAGACGTTTGGCATCAAATACAGTGTTCTGGGGATTCATGGCTACCTGGTTCTTGGCTGCATCCCCAATGAGCCGCTCAGTGTCGGTGAAGGCCACGTAGCTGGGAGTGGTACGGTTGCCCTGGTCGTTGGCAATTATCTCCACCTTGCCATGCTGGAACACCCCCACGCAGGAGTAGGTGGTACCCAGGTCGATGCCTATGGCAATTCCCTTGGCAGTAGCCATGGTTTTCCGATGCCTCTGGAAAAACAATACGATATCATTTTGACACATTGCCTATTTATTTATTTATTTAGAGCTGGAACTACAGGCATGTGCCACCATGCAGAGCGAATTTTTTTTCCCTTTTTTGTAGAAACAAAATCTCTCTATGTTTCCTAGGATGGTCTTGAACTCCTGGGCTCAAGTAGTCCTCCGGCCTTGGCCTCCCAAAGTGCTGGGACTTCCCAGGTGTGAACCACTGCGCCTGGCCTTAATTTTATTTATTTACTTAATTATTTAATAATTGGGTTGGGAGTCACACTCTGTTGCTCAGGCTCACCACAGCCTTGACCTCCTGAGCTCAAGCAATCCTTCTATCTACCTCAGTCTCCCAAGTAACTGAGACTATAGTGGGAATGGTGGAGTTGCGCTTGATCAGGACAGTCATCACGCCGCCACCACACCCAGCTAATTTTTTAATTTTTTGTAGGGACAAGTTCTCAATATGTTGCCCACACTGGTCTCAAACTCCTGGGCTTAACAATCCTCCTGCCTCAGTCTGGCAAATTGTTGGCATTACAGGCGTGAGCCACTGTGCCTGGTCATATATTTTGTTTTATTTATTTACTTATTTTCATATTTTTATTTTTATTTGAGTTGGAGTCTCACTCTGTTGCCAGGCTGGAGTGCAGTAGCACGCTCACAGCCACCGCAGCCTCAGCCTGCTGGGCTCAGGTGATCCTTCCACCTCAGCCTTCCAAGTAGCTGGAACTACAGGCATGCACTACCACGCCCGGCTAATTTTTTGACTTATTGTAAAGACAAGGTCCTGCCACATCTTAAACATTTTAAAGTGTAGAGTTCAATTACTGTGATGTCTATCTAATTTCCAGAACTTTATTCATTTCGTAAAACTGAGCCAGGTGCAGTGGTTCACGGCTATAATCCTAGCACTTTGGGAGGCTGAGGCAAGATAACTGCCTGAGCCCACAGGTTTAAAACCAGTCATAACAAAAAACTGATGCTCTATACCTATTAAGCAACTGTCCATTTCACCCATCCCTCAGCCCCTGGTAACCAATATTCTGGGTTGTATTCTTGGTACTTTATATAAGTGGAATTATACAGTATTTGTCCTTTTGTGACTTGGCTTATTTAATAACCTCAGGTTTCATCCATGTTGTAGTATGTGTTGGAATTTCCTTCCTTTCTAAAGCTAATATTCGGCCGGGTGCAATGGCTGCATGCCTGTAATCCCAGCACTTTGTGAGGTGGAGGTGAGAGGAGAGCCCACAGGTTCGAGACCAGCCTGAGCAACTTGGCAAGCCCTTGTCTCTACAATAAAATTTAAAAATTAAGCTGGGCTCAGTGGCTCAGCCTGTAATCCTGCGCCTTTGGGAGGCTGAGGTGAGTGGACTGCCTGAGCCCGCGGGTTCGAGACCTGCCTGGGCAGGCAAGACCTCATCTCTACAATAAATCAAAAAATTAGCCGGGCATGGTAGTGCATGCCTGTAATTCCGGCTACTTGCAAGGCTGAGGCGGAAGGATTGCCAGAGCCCAGCAGGTCAAGGCTGCGGTGGCCGGGAGCGGCCACTGCACTCCGGTCTGGGCGACAGAGTGAGACTCCAACTCAAAAAAAAAAAAAAAAAAAAATTAGCTGGGCATGGTGGTAGACACCAGTGGTTCGAAGGCTGAGGCAGAAGGATCACCTGTGCCCAGCAGGTTGAGGCTGCTGTGACCTTGAGTGTGCGACTGCACTCCAGCCTGGGCAACGGAGTAAGACTCCTGACTCAAAAATAAGTAAGTAAAGCTATTATTCAAGATATATACACATATATACACACACACCATATATGTGTGTGTGGGTGTACTATATTTTGCTTATCCATTCATCACTTGATGGGCAAGCATTGCTAAATAATGGTGCTATGAATGTGGGTACACATATATATGGAGACCCTGTCTCTGTGGGAGGCTCTGCTTTTTGGACAGAGTAGACAATAGTATTCTCAGCAACTCAACGGAGGTGGGAAGGTAGTGGGTGTATATTGTTTTCAATTTCTCACAGGGCCTGATCAACCTATCTCTGTGGTACATTTTATTGCAGAATTGTATCTGAAACTATGATTATTTTACATTCTTGTCTTCTCAAGAGACATTATCAGCCCCCACACTTAGGTTTCACTGCCTCCCTTGGCTCCTTCACCCTCTATTAGGGATTTGTGGGCAGTAATTTGTGTCACTCTGAAGATGCCTTCTAGGAACCCAGTGAAGCACTCACAAATTTTCTCAAAAGAGGCGCTGCACTCCAAACAGTTTCTCTATCCTTCCTCTGTTTTCTGGGGCCAATAACAGATCAAGAAAGGGTTTAGGGTCTTCCACCCCTCTCAAATTCCTAGGCTGCACCCCATCCTCATTCGGGCAGCTCCTACCAGTTCCAGCCACCTTGGCTTTCCTCAAGTGATCCTCCTTTCTAACCTCAGACTTAAATCAACCAGGAAAATTTCCAACACATTCTCAAACGAGCAATTACTGGGCCTTGCAGATTTCCACCCGGTTCCAACTATATCCCTACTCGGCTCACCTAGTCTCCTGCGGCCTTCGCTCCAGTATGAACACGTTAAGATTATGAAGACGCTGCGAGTGGGGGGCTCTTTCAACATCCAAATTGTGCAGCCGGCGGTCCCCCACCCCCCACCCCGCCCTGCCCTATAACTTTGAGTCAGCTTCAGCCCAGTCACACTGATACCAAACTGCCCCATGAGGTCAGAGGCAGCGTCGCCATTGTGACGGAACAGAGTGGGTAGTGTCAACACAAAAGCTCTCCTCCCGCCCCCGCTCGCTGGGTCAACACAAACTCCTCCACCTGCCACATCTACAAGGCCCCCATCAACCCCCTACCCACCACTGTGAAAGCCCAGCAAGTTCGCGCAATTACCAGCCTAGCTGGGACCCTTCCCGTCAATTTCACAGTAAAGGGCAGGGGCCAGAGTCTCCATGGAAACGCAATCAGCGACCACCTTCCCACTGCCACTTCCCCTTTCTTTCAGAGCCCCGTCCTCTCCAGTGAATCCCAGAAGAGTCTGGAGAGTTCGGCGGAGGGCGGGACCCTGGCCTCTGATTGGTCCAATGAAGCACGGGGGCAGGACCGGAGGCGAAACCCCTGGAATATTCCCGACCTGGCAGCCTCGACGAGCTCGTTGATTGGCTGAGAAGGGAAAAGGCGGGGTCTGACCTTGAGTTATAAAAGGGGTTGAGCGCGCAGTTTTGGGAACAGCGAGCCCCAGGGGGTCTGCGACCGAAGTCCCGTTTCCCGAGAGCGAGTCGCGGCAGCACCCCGGCGAATCTGCGCGGTACCGACTCCGGCGAGTTCAGTTTCCAGCTTTCAGAAGGGACCGAGCGCCTGTTGCTGATCCCGTCCGCCGTTCTCCGGCCCGCGTCTGAGAGCAGAACCCGGGAGCAGGGCACCGACATGGCCAAAACCACGGCGATCGGCATCGACCTGGGCACCACCTACTCCTGCGTGGGGGTGTTCCAGCACGGCAAGGTGGAGATCATCGCCAACGACCAGGGCAACCGCACCACGCCCAGCTACGTGGCCTTCACGGACACCGAGCGGCTCATCGGGGATGCGGCCAAGAACCAGGTGGCGCTGAACCCGCAGAACACCGTGTTTGACGCGAAGCGCTTGATCGGCCGCAAGTTCGGCGACCCGGTGGTGCAGTCGGACATGAAGCACTGGCCCTTCCAGGTGATCAACGACGGTGACAAGCCCAAGGTGCAGGTGAGCTACAAGGGGGAGACCAAGGCGTTCTACCCCGAGGAGATCTCGTCCATGGTGCTGACCAAGATGAAGGAGATCGCCGAGGCGTACCTGGGCTACCCGGTGACCAACGCGGTGATCACCGTGCCGGCCTACTTCAACGACTCGCAGCGCCAGGCCACCAAGGATGCGGGGGTGATCGCGGGGCTCAACGTGCTGCGGATCATCAACGAGCCCACGGCCGCCGCCATCGCCTACGGGCTGGACAGGACCGGCAAGGGGGAGCGCAACGTGCTCATCTTTGACCTGGGCGGGGGCACCTTCGACGTGTCCATCCTGACGATCGACGACGGCATCTTCGAGGTGAAGGCCACGGCCGGGGACACCCACCTGGGCGGGGAGGACTTCGACAACCGGCTGGTGAGCCACTTCGTGGAGGAGTTCAAGAGGAAGCACAAGAAGGACATCAGCCCGAACAAGCGGGCCGTGAGGCGACTGCGCACCGCCTGCGAGAGGGCCAAGAGGACCCTGTCGTCCAGCACCCAGGCCAGCCTGGAGATCGACTCCCTGTTCGAGGGCATCGACTTCTACACGTCCATCACCAGGGCGAGGTTCGAGGAGCTGTGCTCCGACCTGTTCCGGGGCACCCTGGAGCCCGTGGAGAAGGCCCTGCGCGACGCCAAGCTGGACAAGGCCCAGATCCACGACCTGGTCCTGGTGGGCGGCTCCACCCGCATCCCCAAGGTGCAGAAGCTGCTGCAGGACTTCTTCAACGGGCGCGACCTCAACAAGAGCATCAACCCCGACGAGGCGGTGGCGTACGGCGCGGCGGTGCAGGCAGCCATCCTGATGGGGGACAAGTCCGAGAACGTGCAGGACCTGCTGCTGCTGGACGTGGCGCCCCTGTCGCTGGGGCTGGAGACGGCCGGCGGCGTGATGACCGCCCTGATCAAGCGCAACTCCACCATCCCCACCAAGCAGACGCAGATCTTCACCACTTACTCCGACAACCAGCCCGGCGTGCTGATCCAGGTGTACGAGGGCGAGAGGGCCATGACCAAGGACAACAACCTGCTGGGGCGCTTCGAGCTGAGCGGCATCCCCCCGGCCCCCAGGGGCGTGCCCCAGATCGAGGTGACCTTTGACATCGACGCCAATGGCATCCTGAACGTCACGGCCACGGACAAGAGCACAGGCAAGGCCAACAAGATCACCATCACCAACGACAAGGGCCGCCTGAGCAAGGAGGAGATCGAGCGCATGGTGCAGGAGGCGGAGAAGTACAAAGCGGAGGACGAGGTGCAGCGCGAGAGGGTTTCGGCCAAGAATGCCCTGGAGTCGTACGCCTTCAACATGAAGAGCGCCGTGGAGGATGAGGGGCTCAAGGGCAA